GGGCTTAAGATATTCAATTTCCCATGAATAAAAATTATACAAATAACCTGTAGAACTATAATACATTCATCTTAGACTAGTAAAACAAGCTACTGATTAGAAAGTGCATCACAGACTAGTTCCAGAAAATAACTCTTATACTAATTAGTCTAAGAATACCATTCTCATATTAATTAATCTAAGAATTATGCATATGTAATAAGGTGTTTTTAATTATGGGCTATGGGTTTGATCAATCTCACCACATCCTCCCCCAACTTATTTGTCTGTCCTCAGACAAGCTCTCTAAATTGAAAATAAATCAAATTTTATATACGTAGAATTCTTTGAGAAGAAGAAAAGGAAAAAAAGAAAGATATATATGGGAAAGAACTTGGAATCTCAATTATATCCCAGTCCTGCAGTCTTGGAAATCTTGTTCGAGTTTTTCTTTTTGAAAAATTACTCCAGACTTTGTCTTCAGTTTTCACTCATGAGAGTTTAAAATTTTTTTTAAATTTTTCGGAGCCAAAGCGCGGTTTTCTTGTGCTTTCTCTTTGTTGAGTTTACGTTTTACAGCCAAATTTTGTTTAAATTTTTCGCGCAGCAAGTTCAGTCCCCGTTTGGCCGCAGTCTTTTTCGGTATACGCGGGATTTCTCCTTGTTCCTCTTACTTGATTTCAAAATTCTTAGCGAACATTCTAAACTTGAGTCTCCGGTATGTGAATCTCTTTTATCGATCTTTATTTCTTTTTCACGAGTTTTTATAAAAGGGAAGAAGCTGATCCAATTTTGGATTTTTAAACTTTATGATCTTTTATCAGTCGAAACGCTAAGTCGTCTAGTCTTGGATCAATCTTGGATCCGTTCCTCGATTTCATTCCAAACCACCTAATCGATTTTGACCTCAAGTTTTCCCTTGACGGCGATTCCCGTGATCCCTCGATTTCTAACGACTAGTCTTAAATGAGGATAAACTGATGCGTGAATTCGTAAACGACTTCTCTAACGACTCGTAGGATTTCGATTTGTACTTGATTCCAGGATTGGCTCGACTGATGAAATTTGATTCTGATTTCTTAGGTTATATTACATTGTCGACAACTTTGTTGGACCTCTCTCTTTTTTTTTAAATCGATTCCCCTCTGAAAGTATCTCCTTTGCGACTGGTCTTCGCTCGCCTTCGAACGACTTTCACACATTTCTTTTCATTCCCAGTCTGATGTGTCTGTAATTTGTTTTCGTTCCTTATCATTCTTTCGATCTTTTTTTACTGAACTGGTACATTCTCGGACTGAATTTCTTCTAGCCACACCTTCCGCGACCTTCTTCTCCAAGCTAAGCCATCTTCGACCCCAAAACTAACTCGTATCTTCAAACAATGACGGCCAACTTCGGTAATCAGTCTAATAGGAATATGAAATCCACTCCCCATCCTACTAGTCTCTCTCTTATTCCAACAACTCGCCAGACACCCTCGACTCGAGTCTCAAATTTCTCGTCTTTGAGTTTCTTCTCGTTTGAAATCGGTCCTCTGCTTGGTTTGCCCCTGAAATCTCTCCGTTGCTCCCGATAGCCTCGACTCCCTTCTTTGATTTGAACGCTATTCTCCATCGACTTCGACCGTCTCGGAAGAAGGCCATCGACGTTAAAAAATTCTCTTGTCTTAAATGTTTTTTTTTTTTTTTTTTTTTTAAGCTTCTTCTCGTTCAAGATTAGCCGACTTCTGATGATCACACCAGTTCGTCCCCTCCTTTCAGCCTCTCTCTTGATCTCGGCTCTCCTTATTTAGCCGGTCCGATTTCCTATCCATCTGTCCGGTTCTCGATCTTAATTCAACGTCGATCCAATCTGCTCCCATTTCGAGTTTTCCGAACTAATCCAAGGTAAAGTGTTTCCTCATTCTCAGTCCACCACTCTTGTTCTTATTTACTGATTTACAATTCGTTCCTCTTTGCTTCATTCCTTGCTCAACATCTATCCAAATCTCTGCTCTAGTCATCATTGGTACCGCCTCTACACTCGATCCAGTCCAACGCAGCTTTTCAACAGAAAAATCAAAGGTACGTCGCTTCGTCCCTCCTCCATCCTTTTATTTATTTAGCTAGCTTACTGACTTCCTTTTCCTTTACTTTTTTTTTTTTTGCTAGGTTTGTGCGACTAATTTCGCTCTCCACTGATTTGAAAAAAAGAAAAAAAAATAGAGATCCTCGCTCTATCCAAGTCCGCTAACATCACGCTCTTGTTTAATTTTGTTTGTTGGTCGCCCTTTGGAAAAAAAATGTTTCATTTCATTTGATTTCGGTGCGTTTGTCTTATCGCTTGTTTTTTTTTTGGCGTTGTTGGATCTTCTCTACTGGGTATGTTCCTCATTGTTCTTTTTATACCTTTAGAATCAATGGACGATGACTAACTCCACTTCGCTTTTGGGTTTGATATCATCCTTCAGAATCGTCTTTGGAAAAAAACTGATATTGATTCGCTTCCCTACCGCTTATCTACCCATCTTACGCGACTCTTGGGAATCGCTTGTACGTTCCCATTCCTCTTGTCCCGGTTTGTCCTCTGTGTTAATAATTCTCGACCGTTTGACGATGGTTACTAATCATTTCATCTCTCTTTCCCTTGACTTCCTTTCTGTCCTGTAGTTTCGTTTGACGCTATCCCATCGCCGATCGGACCTCGCGTTTTAAATCGCCAACAGTATTCCAAGTTTGTTTTTCCTTCTCTTCTGGATAGGTTTAAAACTATTTTTATTGAACACTTCTAACTATTTATTTTTATCTTTTTTTTTTACTTTTGCTTTATTTTTGTATATTTCCTTCAGGCAAACCTAAGAAAATGAACTTGTGCGTTTTATTCTCCTCTCTTCTTTCCTGCTGCTTATTTCACCCTGACTTCCCCTTTTTTTTCTTAGCCATTCCAAAGTTACCGATCAAACGCCCATCTTCATCGACTCCAGCCCGGCGATTTCTCCCTTAGCGGAGGAGATGGAAATCTCGATGCTCTTGACGCCTCCAGGTTACAGTATCTACGATGGCGACTGCTTTACTCAGCCCGAATTCGACGCCCTCTTCGCTTTCATTATGAATCAAATCACGATCTACTGCCGCGACAACTATCCGAAGAACTTTCTTGAACACGAGGCCCGCGTCAAGTTGTACATGGATATCTCTCGTGGCTTTAAGTTTGTAAGTCCAGTTTTATTTTCCCCTTTCCTGTTCAGATTTCAACTAATTGATTTTTTTTATTTATTTTTAGGCCAATGTCCACAACTTGATCCCTAAGTACGAGGATGGGATGCCACATGGCCCTTCTTCTGGTAGCAACTGTGACTGTAAGTTTTCATTCTTCCTCTTCCTCCTCCTCTTCTCTTTGGTAAAAAGGTTTGACGTGAGTTGCTGCATATTTTCTAGCTACCTCGGCTCCGTCCAACTCTGCCAGTGCGTAGGATCCTCCAGGTAGTTGACTGACAACACGGTAAGGTCCATTCCATTTATTTTCAAACAACTTTCCCCATTGAGAATCTAAGCTTTTGTTGTATACTAACACTAAGTCTCCTTTTTGTAATGGTTTTCTATTTTTCTTTTTCTTACTCCAATAGTTTATTGATTGTTGTCTAGCATTTATTAACTTATCATATGCTTGTTGTAGCTTTTTATCCCTCTTTTGTAATTGAATTACCCTGGCCTCAAGAAGTTCTTGAGTGCTTCTGATACTCCACCAATCAATTCCCAAGAAGGTTTCAAATTCTAAGTCCACCGGGAGAATAGCCTGCTGGCCAAAAACTAATTCAAACGGAGTATACCCTGTCGTACGCTTAGTCGAGACACGATCCGCAAACAGCACCAATGGCAGATATTCTCGCCATTTCTTTCCTTCAGTCCCACTCAGCTTGACTAAGGTATCTTTAATAGTTCTATGACCACGTTCCACCATACCATTTGCCTCTGGATAGTAAGGTGTCGTGACTCTAGTCTGAACACCCATTGATTTAAGAATGTCTTGAAACTGAGCTCCAAATTATGATCCTCCGTCTACCACAACATTTGTAGGTGCGCCGTACCGAAGTATCCATGATTCATGAAACCATCTGGCTATTTTCTTTGCTTGAATTTTCTCTAGGCCAACCGCTT